AAATAAAGAAGGAAGGAGAAAGAAAACGACGAAAGTAACGGAAAAAACGAAAAAAAGAAAGAAACAAAGGGGTGGTAGGGTCATAGGTTTCAACCACCAAAGCAGCATACTTTGTGCGCATAAAGCACAGAACAGAGCACAACAGAACATCCATGTCCGATATTCATTCAGAGAGAAGAACTCTTTTTGGCTCTCTGCTAAATATCACAGTCATGGCTGAAGAAGAAGCTTTTGGGCTCCTGCTAATATCACAGTCATGGCTGAAGAAGAAGCTAACAAACCCCAAGCACAACCACAACCAAAACCTCAGACTCTGTCTGAGGCTGTTGACTCTTCACCACCTTCTGCTTCCACTGTTAAAGAGAGCGATTCCCCCAAGGAAGACCCTCCAAACGGCGTCGCTCAAGCTCCTCCTCCTTCTGCTGTTCAAAGTAGGTCTTTTCCAAATTCCTCTGTTTCTCAGCAATAATTAATTATATGCACGATTAATTCCTTTTACTCTGTTTCTTTGATCATAGCCGAGTTGCTTCTTGATTCATTTCACTTTGCCTCTTTCTATATTTGGCGGATGTTCTGGCTAGTATTTTTTTAAGAATCAGGGTTTGCTCTGTTGTGCAGAACCTCTCCTTTCACACTTTCTAATTTGCCTATTATTTTCTCTATAAATTCATTTTATTACGTGTTTATTGCTTTTTGATCCTGAAGGGCTGTGGTTTTTAGGGAAAGCTGATTATTTTTGTTAGTACAATGAAGGGAATTTTTCGTTTTTCGACTTGGATGAATTCACTAGCTCGTTGCTCTTTGTTTAGGTTAAATTAGCTTACTGTTTCAGTTTGTTTCTGTAGTTGGCCTCCTTTTTTATGCTACTGTCATATATTTGATTTGCTTTAATTTTTATACAGAGGCTGCAGATCCTCCTGCCAAGAACGATTCAAAAGATTCAGTCGATAAAGGTTGTTTTTTTTTAGAAAAGATTGTACAATCGTTGTGATTTTACGAGGTAGGTAGCTTCCTAATTGTTACATTTTTAGATTCTGTGCTTGCAAGAGTTGAGACAGAGAAGAGATTGGCCTTGATCAAAGCATGGGAAGAAAGTGAGAAGTCAAAGGCGGATAACAAGTAAGATGGGAACTTATATGATTTTGCTAATCATAATGACAAATTGAGACTTCCTTTTTATGAGCCTACGCAGCTTGATGATGTTTTTATTAAACAAATATTCGACAATAAATGATACAGTAATGCCTTGACTATCACAGAAATCACAATTTCTTTATTTAATAACCATATCCGAAGCTTAAAGCATCAAAATTTCTTGCTTAGCTTCTTGAACAAGAACATTTTTCTTTGTCATTTTGACAGTGGGTTGAAGTTAAATTGATTCCATTTCTTACTGCTAAATACAGTTCTTGGTTCTAACAATCATGGGCGCATTGAGAATTCCTCTTATTACTTTTCACCATATTGAAGGTTGTAGTTGATGAAACTAAAATTCTGAAACAGGGCATACAAGAAACATTCAGCTGTTGGACTGTGGGAGGAACGCAAGAAAGCATCAGTGGAAGCACAGCTCAAGATAATTGAGGTGATTCCCTCTAAATTTATTGGATTATCTAGATTAGTAATATTTTGATGAGGTAAATTAGTTGACTGAAACTCGTTTGGAATGTTAGGAAAAACTGGAGAAGAAGAAGGCAGAGTATGTGGAAAAGAAGAAGAATAAAATAGCAGAGATTCACCATTTAGCACAGGAGAAGAGAGCAGTGGTTGAAGCTCAAAGAAAGGAAGAGTGCCTCAAGGTTGAAGAAACGGCTTCCAAGTTTCGTGCCAGTGGCTATACTCCAAGAAATTTCTTGCGTGCTTTAGTGCCTGACCTGTTTCATCCACCTTACTCTTTGGTCTTGCCTTGCTTTGCTTCTTGCATATTTTGAATTTGCTTCAAAGTCTTTCGTTTCTTACTGCGTACTGTAAAAAAAATAAAAATAATAATAAAATTTGTTTGCGGTTGTTCTGGTTACTTCAAGTGTTTGTAATAAAGCTTATGAATACCATCAAATAAAGTTACCGATTTGTGTTTAAGCTGTCTTCTGCTTGCTTTTTACAAAGTGTTTGCTACTCTTGATATGGCTATTCTTTACTAACAAGAGAGTGGCTCACTTAATTACTGCAGTCCACTTTTTTTTCTGCGTTTTTTCCCCTTAATTTACACGAAATGAAATTATACGATAATAAAAAATTTACTCTTTTTTTTTTTAAAATAAACAAAGCATCAACCATATTTACAAACTTCTTTTTACAAAATACTGCTCCTATCATCTTCCACCATCCTTTTTAGTAATAGGGTTGCTTTGATATATTTTTTAAATTGATAGATTGATCAAAGAAATTTGCGCGGGCTTTTTTTTTTGGGCCTGAATAAATTTGCATGGTTAGACATTGTAACGGATCATAAATTAAAAAATACTAAAAAGATTGAGTCTAGCGGAAAAGGCAATCCTTCACAACTAAGATTTGAATCCTTGTTGGAAGATATACTAACATTTAGTGCCCAACAGTACCTCGAATAGAATTACTTTCATAGGATGATACTTATGTTTTAGTAAAAAATTCTTGCAAATAAATAATATGGGTTTATTTGGAATGACATTCAAAAGCACTAATAAATATATTTTACATAAGTTATGATGAAATTTTTTTCATATACTTATCTCGTATTTTATAAATTATTATTAAAAAGCTATTTGTAAGTTATTTCAAACCGGTACTAAATCATTGCCACACCTAACTTCTCTATCATTACATGAGAAATGTATATGTATGGGTATATAAGCATGCCAGACAGATTTTGACATCCAATTGTTTTATATTTTCGGGAGGTTCCTTTTCCTTGTGTGCAACCAAACATTGCAACGGAATTCCCATTGTTTCTCCTCTTCCCTTCCCTTTGGGCTGCAAGTTCAGACCTTGCACCCAAAAAAAAGTTCAGACCGTACCAGATAAACTAAATAGTTATTCATATAATATAAACTAATTAATTAATTTAATAATTAAAAAATAAATTAAGGTAATTATTTATAATAAATATATGTTATTTTTCTTAAAATATTCTTACTAATCAAGTTTATTGGTTAGAACTATTATTATTAGAATGATTATTTAAAAAAAAAGATAAATATAATGATAAAATGGATTGAAATTTTACAGTTAGATTAAAGTAAAAGTCAAATGATCTTATATTAAAGACCCGAAGTGATATTAATATTAATATTGTACCCTGTGCAAAAAAAAAGTACAATCTTAAAATGAATACAAAACATTAAATGCATTGAATGGCAATTAACAACTCATATTAAAATGCAATTAGTTTGGTTCTTTTTTTTTTCAGTGGAGCTTATGAGAATAGAAGTGATAAAAGCAATATAATCCGTATTGGTTTTTCCCCCTGAAAGATGGCAGTTGAATTGTCAGTAGTGCTGATTTTCCTCTTGGCGCCAGCATAAACCCTAAACCCTTCTTCGCGGATTGACACTGTGTCCCCTCCGAAACGATGTACTCGTCAGTCGTAGCAGAACGATCCAGGGCATTGTCGAAAATCCTCTGCAACTTCATCTTGGTCCGAAACATGGGTGGGGGTCCTCGGACTTTCCCGGGCGGCGTCAACAAGTGGAAGTGGAAGCGCATGCACGAGAAGCGAGCCAGGGATAAAGAGAGAAGGCTTCTCGAACAAGAAAAGCAGCTTTACCAGGCTCGCATTCGCTCCCATATCCGTGCCAAACTCGCGGGAAAACCCGACACCTCAAGCGCCACTCACAACCCTATGGCCCCGGAGGACCATATTAAGGCCTTGGCCAATCGATTTATGAAGGAAGGAGCTGAAGATCTCTGGAACGGAAATGACGGTCCGTTGAAGCCTCCGCCTCCGCGTCTCAGAGAATTTCCAGGATCAAGCAGACGGCGAGGATCAATCGCGTCGCCGGTTGATCCGAGGAAACTGGTACCGGAAGGCCGTCACATGTTTTCTGATCGCCAAAAGGACTATCTGACGAATACGAGTTGTAATTTTACTCAGAGCAGGGGTTACTCAACGCAAAATTGGAGGAGGTTTCAGAGGAATGAGAGCTCGTCAGAGGAGGAAGATTCTGATTTTGGTTTGAAGAGAAACCCTGCAAGACCCATAGTCAGAAATTCATTTAGTAGTCAGAAAACCCTGATTAATGCAAATGCGGGTGAGTATATAAACAAGAAGCAAAATATCCCGAAGAGGCAGCGAAAGTTATGGAGAGATGACAGTTCTTCCGGCGAGAGTGAATCGGACATGGATTCAGACGGTTCAGGGATCGTCAGGGGCGTGAATAAGATAGGTAGTAGTGCTTCTTTGGGGAAGTATGACGTAAAGACGAAGAGGAGGTCCTCCCGAAGTCTTATGACGAGGAGAGTGACCTTTCGGAACAGGTTGAATTGATCAGGTATGAACTAAATAAGAGGAAGATGTCCCAGAATGACCAGCAGAAAAGTGAGGAAGATTCGTTACTTAGTCAGAAAAGGTATTCAAATTATTTGTTTTCCCCCATTTCGTGTCTGTTGGTTTTATGATTTGCGATGTTTGTGTTGGGTAAAACAAGCCCAAGTTGTGACAATCCTTTTCTCCCAACTATTCACCATGCGAGCTGGATATGAACTTGTGTGCTTTCACAGTCATATCACTGAACTTCCAGATTAAATGATTTGGTTTTCTTACTTCGGGTTACTAAGAAACTGAGTATTGAAAATTATCAATAAATTATACCATGTAAAATTTTGATAAGTATATAGAGGCAAATGAATGCTTGGTTGCTTTATGTAACTGCATTGACTAATGTTTTATGTCTTGGTTTTAACTTTTTTAATAGATTTGATGAGTGTGACATATCGCCACTGACAATCAAGGCACTTTCTTCAGCTGGTTATATTCGCATGACACGAGTTCAAGAGGCTAGCCTTTCCGTTTGCCTTGAGGGTAGGTTGCCTTTTGTTGCACTATAGATTTCAATTGATTGTGGATTAGATTACCACAAATCAGCCCCATCTTGAGGTGTATGATTTACGTGCTTTTATTAATCTTGTCTGCAACTATGGCTCAGCATCCTGAATTATCTTCAGTGCCTGAAAGACAAAGTTAAGGTGTCAGGTCTCATGAACATATTGAGCTCTAAGCCTTGTCAAATTTTATTCAGATTGAAATATTATTATTAATAATTTTCTATTTTACTTATTGATCATTGATTTGTAGATATGGCTTTTAGTGATTTTTTGTTTTGTTTTTTGAAATCAAACTTTGATTTGTCATTTATTAACTAAAATATTATTATCGGAGAAAACTGCATTGACTTCAACTGATGTTTGGTGTGACCTACGTCCTAACTCCCCCTAGTTTGAGATTATACAAAGATCTCCCCCAACATCTAGCCTAACACCTGTAGCAGAAGTTTTTTGGGACATGACCTCCTCTATGTAGCATAAGGTACAAGCGAAGTTATACTTCCAGGGGTTGTTTTTGCGTAATTTGATACTAGAGGGTACCTGGAAGTATTAAAAGATATCAAGGAAGGTCATTGTATTTCTCTCCTTTTATTGTTGCCGTAGATCTTGCAAAGAGAAAAAGTCCTTGACTTGTGATTCTTTTGCATGCTCTATGGACCAACTCTGGATCATTTTATTTTCTTATCATCAACTTGCTCCAAGCTACTTGATATGGCTATTGGAAACAATTTTGATGATGTTTTAAATTTTGTTCTGATGCAGGCAAGGATGCTCTAGTCAAAGCTAAAACTGGCACTGGGAAAAGTGCGGCATTTTTGGTACACTCTAGTTCTTATATGTGCTTTGCACATGCTGCATGGTATTTTGTTTAGTTTTTTTATCAATGGTGTTGAATGCAAACAGCTTCCTGCTATTGAAACAGTTATTAAGGCAATGAGTGTAAATGCCCCTCAACGTGTGCCTCCAATACTTGTTCTGATCCTTTGCCCTACCAGAGAACTTGCGATTCAAATCACTGCAGAATTGAAAGTTCTTCTCAAATACCATGATGGAATTGGAGTTCAGACTCTAATAGGAGGTATTCGATTTAAAGATGACCAGAAACGTCTTGAATCAGATCCATCACAGGTTTTACGTTATGCTTGCTTAAATTTCTTTGTTTTATAGCTTGTGGTTACATGTTGCTAATCTTGTTGATAAAATCAGTGTTGTGTGCCATTATGTTTATCTGTCTTATTTGAAATTTTGCAGATCATTGTTGCTACTCCAGGGAGGTTGCTGGATCATATTGAGTATAAGTCTGGAATATCTCTGCGGTTGATGGGTTTGCAGATGCTTATACTCGATGAAGCTGATCATTTATTGGACCTAGGCTTTCGAAAGAGTGTAGAAAAGCTTGTTGATTGTTTGCCCCGTCAAAGGCAATCTTTGCTATTTTCTGCAACCATTCCAAAGGAGGTTGCTTTATGATGTTAATATTTGGTCTATTTAATTTAATATTGATTCTTATTAGTAATTTTGTGTTGTTGCAGTATTAATCTACATTTAAGTTATATTTCACTAATGCACAGGTCCGACGTATATCTCAACTTGTTTTAAAAAGGGATCACACGTATATTGACACAGTGGGGATAAATTGCGTGGAAACTCCTGTTAAAGTAAGCTACAGTTACTACTGTGGAATTGCAAAACATATTCTCTTGGCTTTTCCTAGAGGCTTTGTGCTCGTAATTCTTGTTTTTATTGGCTGGCTTGACAATTCTGGGATGTTTCTTTTAACTTGATTATATCTTATCTCGCGCTCATGCTGAAGAAGGCATAGAGATCTTCCTGTGTTATTGTCATTATTATCATTTAGTTGAAACTTGAAAGTAGAAATACTCACTTTGGTTTGCTATCACAGGTAAAGCAGTCTTATCTTGTTGCTCCTCATGAATCTCATTTTCAAATGTTGCACCATATTTTGAAGGAGCATATCTTGCAAGCACCTGATTATAAGGTGAATTTCCTCTAGGTCTAGAGTTTGAATTGCTTTACCATGTAACCTGAGAGGTGGAGTTGCTTTCAGGTTATTGTTTTCTGTATATCTGGGATGGTGACTTCACTCGTGTATCAACTTCTTCGGGAAATGAAAATGAATGTTAGGGAGATGCATTCCAGAAAGCCTCAGCTTTATCGAACTCGCATATCAGATGAGTTCAGGGAATCCAAACAGCTGATTCTTATCTCGTCTGATGTGTCATCTCGCGGAATGAATTATCCTGATGTTAGCTTAGTCATCCAGGTATCGTTAAATCCTTCAGTGCATGTTTTCTGTCATTTGCTTGATACGGGATGCCAAACTGAAAACTCGTGTTTATTTTTATTTTGCATTCCTCAAATTTGCTCAAGTGCTCTGGTTTTGTGTGAATCAAGAATTTCTGTAGGTTTTGGTGAGTTTTCTTTTTCCTTTTGCATGATAATTATGCCATATTATCTTCAAGGGAAAAATGTCTCTGAGAGGCTCAGCCAAATTAATTTCACATGTTTCAACTTTTTGGCCTGGATAACGTTCAAGTTATTGTTATCCAAGTTATCAAGCTATTTATTTTCACGCTATTATTAACTGAAGACGGTGTGTAATTTAGGTGGGTATTCCTACTGACCGAGAACAGTATATCCATCGTGTTGGAAGAACAGGACGAGAAGGCAAAGAAGGGGAATGCATACTGTTAATTGCTCCGTGGGAAGAGTACTTCTTAGATGAAATCAAAGATCTCCCTCTCACGAGATTCCCTTTACCTGATGTGGATCCTGAGACAAAGCTTAAGGTCCATTTCTGGCTCCCGTTCTATGTTTTCATTACCCCCCCCCGGGGGGAGTTTCGCTCTCTATAAAGAGTAAAATGATGAATGAATAGGTCTTCGATTCTCACGACTCGTTCTACTTATTTGCGGATGATTTTGAAGTTAGATGTCGTATCATTTACTTTGAACTTGTTGACCATTGGGCTTCGATGCAGTGCATGTGCATGGATATTGAAATGTTACGTGGAAAAACGAAATTGTAACCCCTGCATGGAGAGGGAACTTTCTAGTTGTTATTCAAACTAGAATATGCAGTTTTTAATCTATGCGTTGTTTATACTTGCAGGTAGAAAGTTCAATGGCAAAGATTGATAATGACGTCAAAGAATCGGCTTATCATACCTGGCTTGGTTATTATAATTCGATAAGAGAAATCGGGAGGGATAAAACCACTCTAGCTGAGCTAGCAAACCAATTTTCGGAATCAATTGGTTTGCAGAGGCCTCCTGCTCTCTTCAGGAAGACTGCACTAAAAATGGGATTGAAAGACATTCCTGGCATCAGAATACGTAGATAGCTCTATGTGGATAGGTAAAGCTAATAGTAAGTAACAGGGAGCATTGTGGGGATCACGGGAAAGGTGTCAGGGAGAAAACCCCTCATGAAATTGCGCAGTCAAAGGTCGACTCCCAACACCAAATACTTCCTCCGGTCCTATATGTAAGTTCCACTTTTAAAGAGGGATTTGGTACAAAATACAAGCTTTATTTTTGAGTTTGTCTGAACATTTATTATTATTATTTTTTATTTTGCCTTTAGTTCATTGTATTTAGTACTCCCTCTGTCATTAATATTACCTTCATATATCTTCTTTTATCATTTTTTTTATTTATTGCTTCTCTCATTAATTCTCTTAATAAATAAGAGCAAATTTGAAAAACAAAAATATATTTTTGATCTATTTATTATTTTTAATTGTTAGTTCGTTAAACATAATTCGGTTATTTAAAATTTATATATAAAACCGGATGGAAAACCGTTCTCTTGAAGACCAAATATTGGTATGGAGATGGTGGTTCTATGTCATAAACACTAGAACTTGGTAATCAGGTTCCTCCACGTGTAGGCGCTTCCCTGTTTCCCGCTAGTCAATTGGTTGACTTGAAACCCATCCCACTGAAATTTGGCAACCAGCCCGTAATTTCTGGACGATATCTGACTTGCCATTCCCTGATGTTTGATTTACAAGAACAACAAAAGCTTGTGTTTATATGAAAATATGAAATACGCCTGAATTCGATTTGCGTTTTTTAAAAATTGTGTCGCTTGAGATCATGGTAGGGTCAGGGTTCCTGTGGAATGTCACGCTGGTTTAGAATTCAATAAATATATCATAATGGTGAATTGGCATGTTTATTAATTGTCAAATATGTCTTGGGGAGATAATGGACGGGGATGGAGACCAGGAAATGAATGTAAGCCATCCGTGTTGGAGGTAGGTTGGGACATGAACCACAATGAGATTGCGATTATGTGTAAGCCCAAGAACACCTAGGCCATGTCCAACCTTGGCCTCCTTTAGTGGATCCCACCTTGTTCCCTACGATACCCCCTGTTGGGGTGCAAGCTAAGACATTTCGGACTCGATATGCTCAGAGGCTAGTGGGCCAGCGTATGTGCTAATTTATTTGACTTTACCCACCTTTTAAATTAAGGCCCTTCCTATATGAACCTAGTCTAGTCTAAATAACCGCTTTCCGTCAACAGAAGTTGGGTCTAACAGAAATGATTAGTTCCTCATAACGTGGTGAACTAAAATTTAAATTCTTATTAAGAGAGGTGTTTATATTTAGTGCCTGATAGTACCTTAAATAGAATTGCCTCCAATAAAAAGATATATATGATTTAGTTAAAAAAAAAAAACCGTTTCCCAATCATATGATCATGCTTATAAAAAACCCTTGAGCTTGTCACCTTGAATGACGTGGAAGGTATCTGACATTGCTTCCCGGATCTCCAAAATTGCAATGAATCATCGTACACTCATACTTCACCTTACAAAGAATCTCATTGCTACGACTCAGATCTGAACATACTGGCGTGACAAACAAGAGGAAAGTCTTGTGCTCTGGGTCACTGCCGGCTGATGCTCCATCGCAAGGAAATTTTCAAGCCTCGTAATTGAATACAGTTGAAACACGCACCAGCGGAGCCCTTATCCACAAAGATCCTGTTTCATCTCAAGTTTCCTCATTTCTTCTGCTGGCAATATACTACCTCTGGTTCTTAATAAAAACAAAAGTTAATTGACTAATTTGAGTAGATTAAAAAAATTAATTAAGTTAATTATTTATAATAAATAGATGTTATCTTATCTAAAATATCTTTTCTAATCATATGTATTAGTTACAACTACTATTTGACAAAGATTACTTTAGAAATAAATAAATAAATATAAGAAGTAAAGTAAATTGAGACATTATATTTAGAACTAAATTAAATGTCAAGTTAATTTTTATACTTAAGAGGTGTTTAGATAAGAACCAAATCATGATTTTAAAAGTGATTTTAAGATGTACATAAGTATATGTAAGAATTTATCTCAATTTGTGGAAAGTGTTTTTAGAAAGTATTTTTTAGCAATGGCCAAACGCCTTCCAAGGACCGGAGGTAGCGGTGCTACCTTTGCATTCACATTCCAACACGATCTGGCTTCCGGTATCCCGCCACCATATTTGCAATGGCAGATTCTGTCTCCAAGTTTATCTTGTTGTGCAGTACACTCTCTCCATATGGGTACAGGAACTGATGGAATGGCGAAGTGGCAAGTCGTGTCACTTTATCCTGAATAGTTTAGGGGCCATGGCACATGTGGTGAGGCAGCACCTCATTATCAAGAGGAAGCATCGCTTGTCATTCTGACACAGCGACATGGGGTCATCTTGTCCGCGAATTCATATCTCAATCTTCCAAAATAATTACAAAACCTTAATTAATCAGACCCATTCAACATACTACACTCAATAGTCAACGCCCTCGTGCTTTCCTAAGCTGTATTAAGTTGGCACTCCACCTCCACCGTATGGACCAAGGAGGACTCTCCTCGGAATCAGAATCTCTGCTTCCATCATACACTCCATTTTATTGCAGCAATATACAAGTGTTCTCTCAATTATATTTGTCCTATTTGGATCATCCATGAGTGAGATTTCAACATGTTTACTTGATTCATATGCCCTGAACAATAATTGTAAGCATAATGGCTCCACCCTTAAATGTTCCTGTCACTGGTCAGATTGCAAATCCATGGATGATGAATGGGCAGTTGTGTCATTTCAACAGATTAATTAGTTTTGGCTCTATCTTGGCAATAGTTTCCCTCACCTTGTATTAAAGAACCAGTGATCCTCCAGCAGATGAGAACAAACCAAATTCAACAACCCTCCCCCCGGGCGTATGCCATTAAGTCATCACTCTCCCACAGAACTGCAGCCATGGCAGTCCAATATTCAAGGATCTCACTTGTAATGTTCATGATCGCACTAATTAGTCAGCTCTCAAGTTGCAGTGTGGCCCGCAGATGCCCAGGCGAAGCAATCAAGCAAACACAGAGAAGCAACTCTTTTCATTTTTTCACCAAGCCCAAAGAGGAAGCTAGCAGAGATGAAATCCATCCAATTTATGGAGTTTCTCTAAGAGATGTTCCGGGGGGCCCAAACCCGCTTCATAATTGATCAGCTTTCTAGCAATTTTCTGCTAACCAAGTTACACAAAATTTTGCAGGCTTCTTCTAGTCTAGCAGACCAGAATGTTCTTGCCTCCCACAGAAGACGTAAATACAGTCCGAGAGTAAAATCCGTTCTTGTAAGTTGCCGAGCATCAATAATCTTGAAGAGCTATGATGTGGGGTGGTAGTTATTTCTTTTGCTCCTTTGTATATCTCTGAACAACTCTGTGACAGAACCTTCGTAGTGTAAAGTGTGCAGGTCCGTCGCATACACATTCATACTGACTCAAACTTTCTGTTGAGCTATGTAGAAGACTAGGATCAGGAAGCAATCAAGCACTGCGGAAGTCAGCTAATAAGAAATATGTTGAGAAAAAAAATGGAAAAATACTCAGCAATGAAGAAACTTTATGCTTCTCCAGAATAGCTTACTCTTGTCAGATTGACTGAAACTATTAGTATTGTATGTTCATCATATCCGTTACATAGAATTTACACGATAGATATAGGGACACTGATAGAGAACCTATAAGGCATGAATTTGACATCCATTAATAAGAATCACATGTACAATTATACACGCATGCAAAAGGCAATTTTCCCAAGTCAAACTTCAGAATGTTGCAGAAAGGAATGGCTATTTTCCCATAGTTCTCCACAAAAGGACATGTGAGTGCGTGTAAAAAGGCAGACAATAACCTGCGTCCGTATTCTCATCAGGTAGGAAAACCCAAGTCGCATCTCTTGTCAAGAAATCTGCCAGCATTCAATATGAAAAAAGAAGAAGAAATAATCACCTTACCTTAACAGTTGCCTTGGTAAGTAAATAGTACTGACTTACCGAATCCTTGCTACATAATCTCAGTCCCCACTGGATCAACAGAGTAATGAAGAGATAATGCTTTCTGGGTGATAGGCTGGAACTTATACAGCCACATCTATTTTGCAAATCGAAACATCGTTTAGATTCTTCATGACATCGATAAACTTGCAAAGACTGATTATTTCAGTTCGATAAATTATGACTTAGCTTCAACAAGCTAATTTCAATGCAAAAGTACATTTTTTAAAAAGGAAGTCGGAAAGAGGGTCAAGGAGAAAATTCTAGATTTCAAAATGACGGAAAAGTTAGAATTTCATGCTATACCAGGAAAGAAATAATAGCCAAAACCCAAACAAAATTCAGAACTCTATTATACACCAAAAACGATTTCTGGAAAAAAAAAATCATCTAAAAGTTCAAGAATGCAATAAATTAGGATTCTTACATCTTTGTACTCTTTGCTGCTCGTAAACATCTCGAAAGCCTCAACTGTAAAACAGGTCACCATGAACCAGTCAGCACGACCAATGCGAAAGAGAATAAAGAATGATAGAGATCATACAATGGAGATCACCTGATCGGAATCGTATCACTGCTCCATGCGTATAATCCTTGGAGCTTGGAGTAAAATTTGAACCTAGCAATGCAACAACGAGAAGAATTCACTCATAAATTGAAAACCTCTTGAGAAGGAATTTCCTTCACCCAACCTTTCAGTATACAAATTGGACTTATGCTGAGCCTCTGAGCCCAAGCACACACTTGAGTCATATAACAAAGCAACAATTTTGGCAACTTGGCAAAAGTACATACCTTGAGTTGATTGGACTATCAAGGAAGGGGATCCTGACGTCAACAAAGCCAGGGAAGTTAATGCGTCTTCCACTTTTTCAGCAGGTACTCCATCAAGAAATGAAATCAGAATCACAAATTCCACTCCATAGTTGAACTCCTACACACAACATTCATTTGGATCACCCAAAAAGTTGTTAGAACCAGAAGCAGTGCAATCCAAATAGAAATATGCACAGTGCGCGCACACGCAGAGAGTTTGCTGATGAATTCACAACCAGTAGCAATAAATGCTCTATGCCTTTCGTCCTACCTCGCCTTTCCGAAATATAGAAAGCATCTCATCTTCCACTTCGGACTCATAATCCACATTCATTAATCCCTGAAATAGAAAGAAACTGAGGTTTAAATATTGGTAGAAGTTCAAACTTCACAGCAAGGTTCGTTCGACATGTATAAGAAAAATGGGAAAAGAAACAGAGAATCGGTGTTTACATGTTGGTGCATACATGGCAGTAAGTTAATACGTGCTCCTTCAGAACCTTCAGGTAAAAGGGATTCTCGTAAAATTTCTCAAGGTTTTCTCTCCGTTGAAAGCGCATATAAAGGCCATGCGTATAGTTCTCTGGATTTGAAGCAGAGATGCGTCCTATAGTAATGACAGATCATCACACATTTAGACGTGAAAATATAATTCTCTTCACATATAGAAAAGAGAAAGAAGAAGAAATGCCACTAGATCTTTTAGAAGTTTGAGCACTGCTTGTTATAAGCAATGCATCTCTGCTTAACCATCTACCGTGGACTTACCCAACGAAATTGCTACAACACCACCCATTTGATACTGTGTTGTATACAAATAATCGAGCATATCCCTCTCTTCCTCATCGGATAAATCTTGCTTTGCTTTGAGCAGGCAAATGTGTTCCACAACTTTTCTGCAGGAACTTAAAAGTAAAACAGTCGTTATATGACCACAGAACGCCTGGAAGGGAATTCTCAAATCTCAAGTGACAAGTGCTTAAGGATGAAGCAAAGACATCTACTTATATCAGTACCTTGATCATTTTCTATGCGGTACGTAGAAAGGGAAAATTTGTGCTCATGTAATGAATGACTAAGAATATGAAGATATTTTAAAGATATTTTAGACAGCCAAACAACTTGCCCTGACGATCCTTAAAATTAAACTAATTAAAATAAGAGGGAAGACCTTTTCCTCCCAGAACCGATGCTCGGGCTCTGCTCGTTCACAGCCGAAATTATCATCCTCTGATTCCTTCTCAGTCTCAAATGCGCCCTCTTGAATCCACTCCATTGGGAAACTGAAATAAGAATTCGATAAAGCAAACAAGTTATATGCAGTAAAACTGAGAACAATTAGGAAGACAGAAATAGTAAAGATGAAATAGTCGGAACCACAATTGTAGCGAACTCAAACTCACAGTCGATAGATAGAGGAAGCAATGAAACAGGGATGAGCCCGAATTGATGGGCGAGAGGATTTGAAAAGCTTGAGCATTGTGGTTGAAGCTGAAACCGCATTGCGAAACCGATTTATGAAGATTCTGAGTTCTGTTGCTCTGGTCTACTCCAAAGTGAAGTCAGGATGGGGGTAAATGGTATATCGCAATTCAAAAACCAGAAAGGAGGTGCATTTCAATGGCAGGGCGTGGAGAACAAAGAGCGCGGGTAAAGATCCCATCTCAACATTTTCTGAATTTAAGAAGCCTCGTCTTGGTAAATTCAAGAAATAAAAAGAGGTATTTTTTCCGCAAGAAAATGGGTGGACCAGGAAAAGCCATCGTTTAAATACTTGGCTTTAATTTGGCGCCTCATAATCCAAGCATCCAATATCAAAAGCGATCGTCAGCTTATCGTGCCGACCCCACGGAGAAGGGCCCATCACTTTTTTTTTTTTTTTTACTTTTCCTCAACCGGACCATTCATTTTAAAGTCAGAGTAGAGGATATGCTTTCTTCAGAACGAATAAAACTTAAAAACGCCTTCTTTTCTTTTCTTTTCTTCGATTTGCCCGCTGATGGAAGCTTAGGTATGGGATGTGATAAATAACTAGTGTTTGTTTAAAGTTAGATAGCTAATGAAACCGAGGCTGCGTTTGGAAGTTGTATAGGTCACAATCGTCTTCCTCTTTGCCACACACTCGTGTGATTACACATAAACATTTTGAGTACAAGACACTCAACTTCTTGGATAAAATTAAGCACTGGAACTTTTTTTTTTGACCAGCAAGCACTCGAACTTTGAAAAACTAAAGCTGGTTTGGCATATTTCAACATTGCTAGTCTTACCATATATCTATATATGTGTGTGTGTATCAGGGTAGGACGGGCGAGGGGCACGAACGGAAAGTGAACATTGCGTAACATTAGAGGACAAAAGCCCATTTCCGGAATCAAACTTATCAGAAACCCCAACGTACGAGGCATTTCCCTTTTCAACACGTGGCTTCCCGGCCTTATTCGGCCACTTTATTGTTTTTGGTTTGAATAATAATAATAATAACAATAATATTCGTCCACCTTGCTCAAATGGTAATATTCACCAAGGAACAGGGAAAAGAAGCAATCTTTCAACTCCCCGCGTGTCAGAAATGCATGTGATGAAGATCTAGAGTTCGATCTCTGGATAATTCATCGGTATCCCGCGGAATGGCGCTTGGGAACTCAGGCGGCGCCCTGCGTGTGTAGAATTAGGGTAAAGCTTTATCATTTGCGTCAAATCTCCCTCCTCATATAGCCGAGCTGTGCTAATTTGGTGTCAGTAACTGAGTTAGGATTTCTCTCTGCTTTATAAGCTTACTTATCCGCTTAGAAGTTGATGTATTTTCAGTTTATTATTTTTCCCATTTGCATGGACGAGGAAACTCCTCTTACTCATGATTAGTCAATCATCTTGGGAAAGAAAGGGGGAAAAAGAAATTAGTCTAGAAAGAACGAATTGCAGCATATGTTTTAATACGTGCGCTAATTGAAGTTATAACAACGACTCAAAGGAAGTTATCTTTCTTGTTAATTTTTAAAGGAATATCCCCTTGACTTCTCTTTGGAGACCTTCAACGTATTCTAAAATTTCAAGGTATTTATCTGGAGATAGCGTGCAGATGCCTCTCTCTCCTTTAGGTGGCTTCAAGTTGTAGAAGATGGTACTATTAGTTGTGAAAGACGAAACATAATGTTTCGTCGGTATGATGTTAGAACTACAGAGAAGGCTTCATCTTCTGTCCTGAGACGAACGACCATGCAGGCAAACTTTTAACTTGAATGACGTTCCGGGCGTAATTTATCTAGTTTTGTTGGGGGAAAATAAAGTTTTGTTTGCGATTGTGAAATTTATATTTTGGTCAAACATAAATGTAACTGGGCTTGCGAATGATTTTTTGTTTTGTTATATAAAGCATTTATAAATCTGAAATATGGATCTTTGGGTGATAGTGGTACCTTGGTATTATGAGTTTCAAGTCTTATGCTGTAGCAATTTAGTTTCTCATCCATGACATAGCTCCAATGCTATAAGTTCTGGATGAGGAGTTCAACAACCTGGGTCACCATCCATCATGATGTTGATCTTCTTAAATAGAAGTCTGGAACACTTCTGTTAAGGATTGAGACAATTGATCACTTTTATTTTGTATAGCATGCATCATGGTGTTAGAATCGAATCCCTAGTACTAGCCGTTAGAATCATATCCCTTAAATCTGTAAATTTCCTTTTCTAAATCACCTAGAATCACGATACCTAATCATGGGGATTCCCTGTCATGAACTCTATTCAATGTAATCAGATTTCCAAATATGCTGTGAGGAAATCTAATCCTATTTATGTACCAGTTCTACTATGGAATAATACAGAAAATTTTTTGAATCATCATCTCAATTTGGTATCAAAGCAATGGAGAAAAGAATGAACGGCAAAGGTTTCCCTCCCTTGTTTGGAACTCTGCCACAAAATTGATCAAGCCAGGGCTCGATTCCGTCAGCCCTGATGACTGATTCTACTCCATCTAGTGAGTTGAGTACCTCTGCCACTCTGGATTCATCATCTTTTGCCGCAACCGGTGCCTCCACTGGCTCCACAATGGCGCTGGAGTTCACCTTTGCAGTAGAAAATCAACAAATGGTGATAGCCCTTAAGCTGAATGGGGGCAATTATTTCCAATGGTCACAAAGTGTCCTAATGTACCTAAGAGGATGAAGAAAGGGAAATATATTAACGGTCAAGCACAACAGCCACTACCTGATGACCCAACATTTGACACATGGTTCGCCGAAAACAACCAGTGGCCTGGTTATATAACTCTATGACACTTGAAATCAATGAGGGATATCTACTTGCTAGGACAGCGAAGGAGACATGGGATGTTGCCAAATGAACCTACTCCTTGGTTGACAACAAAGCTGCACTCTACCAACTAAAGAAACAGCTGAGGGAGCTTAAACAAGGTACCATGACTGTCACCCAGTGTTATAGTACTCTCATGAGAATCTGGCAACAACTGGATCTATTTGAGGTACATTCTTGGAAATGTCTTCAGGATGCTCAATATTATAGACAGCTTATTGAAATAGAAAGAACTTATAAATTTCTGTTGGGATTAACCGATATCTTTGAGGATGTTAAGGGCGGAATTATGGGCCTCAAGCCTCTTCCTTCTCTATTCAAAACATTTAACATGGTCAAATGTGAGGAGAGCAGAAAGCAACTCACACAAACACCAACTACACGATTGAGACTTCTGCACTAGCCACAAGGGAAACTAACTCAACTAAACAAAAAAGAAAGATAGAAAAACGGTGTGATCATTGTCACAAAAAGGGTCTTACCAAAGACATTTGTTGGAAGCTCCATGGAAAGCCACCTAACCTGGACAATAAACAAAGAACAAAAAGAAAGGCTACTATGCAGAAAAGAAAGAGGAGGGAGAAAAATCGAGCCTAGAGGAAATCCAAATGCTTAGGTGAATTCTAGAAAAATAGACCAGTCTCCTTACCACCAATCTAGTAAAGCTAGGTAACTCTTTAATTGCACTTAATACTATGGTGACTAGTGATTATATTTGGATTGTGGATTCTGGAACTTCGGACCACATGACTGGTAATAAGTCTCTTTTTAAAACTCTTAAATAGTGTCTTGAAAATTTAAAAGTAAGAGTAGCAAATGGAATCACTACTCAAGTATGTGGGCTTGGAACTATTGAACTATTTGAGCATCTTATTATACATAATGTATTTTATGTACTAGAATTAACATGCAGTCTGATTTTTGTAAGCAAACTAGCTAAAAGCTAGTAGTGCCATATCTTATTCAATGACACGGAATGTGTATTTCAGGATCTAGTTTCGGGGAAGACGATTGGCAAGGCTAAAGAGTGGGATGGCTTCTACTATTTTAGCATGAACAATAAGGAAATAAGACAAGCAATGGTTAACTACTATACTCATAGCAACGATATCTATTGTGGCACCATAGGTTAGGTCACTCTAGCTTCAATTACATGAAACATTTGTCTCTAGAACTTTTCAATAAGCGCTCTAGATTTCCTAAGATGTGATACATGTCAATATGCTAAACAAACTAGACCCACCTACCCAAACAACCTTACAAGCCTATTGCACCCTTTACTCTCATTCATAACGACATTTGGGGGCTTGGAAAGGTTAAAAATCTCTCTAACACACATTGGTTTATTAATTTTATCGATGATCACATGCGAATGACTTGGGTTTTCCTACTGAAAGAAAAATATGAAGTTTCTGAAACTTTCAAAAGGGTTTTTATGTTTGTAAAAAATTAATTTCAAACCACAATCAAAGTTTTGCATAGTGATAATGCAAAAAAATATATGAGTGGGTCCTTCAAAAATTTTCTTGATCAACAAGGGCTACATCATCAAACATCCTGCATTTACAGTCCCCAACAAAATGGGGTACCAGAAAGAAAGAATAAACACTTGTTGGAAGTGACCTGTGTAATAATGATTGAGAAAAATGTAGCAAGCTTTTTTTGGGGAGATGCAATGCTGACAACAACATATCTTGTGAATAGAGTACCCTCAAGGTACTGAATTTCAAAACCCCTATCCAGAAATTACTAGTAAACTGTCGAAACTCCCCTCTGGTTAATAATCTACCACCTAAAGTTTTTGGGGTTACAGTATTTGTTTATAAAAATGCAAGAAAACTTGAGTCGAGCAGAAAAGTGCATTTTCTTTGGGTACTCTCCAACACAAAAGGGATATAAGTGCTATTCTCTAACCACTAAAAATGTTTACATCACCAAGAGTGTTGTTTTCTATGAAGAAGAATCATATTACCCTAAATTACCCATTTAGGGGGAGAATTATGGAAATGTAGAATGGCTAATTCAGGAAACTAGCAACACTCAGCTCACACCTGAAGCTGAAACTACCCTCACGCCACATAAACATCTGCAAAACAGGTATGAAATTACACTCGCTCCACCAGAAAACCCACTAAACAAACCTGAAACTATACCCATACCAAAAAACCCACATCAGGAACCAAAAAACTCAATGAATAACAAAATACTTGCACCCAGATCTAAAACCTCTCCAACCAGACCCAACAACAATCCCAACAACCTTGCGAACATCGAAAATCAAGAAATAGACAAGTCTAATATTGAAAACAACTATGAAAATAAAATGAAATAGAAAACTCACCCACTCCGAGGCAAGACCATGAATCCAACACGGAATTGGATCCTGAAGACTTGAGATAGCCCATTGCTTTAAGAAAAGGAGTAAGATCTTATACCCAACATTCTATACAAAGATTATGTCATATGGTAACCTTTCTGCTAGAATGCAAAATTTTGTTGCTAATAGTGCTTAGGTAAAGATATCAAACAACTTCCAACAGGCCATGGCTAATCCAAATTGGAGAAAGGTAGTGGAAGAGGAGATCAAGGCCCTAAAAGAGAATAGAACATGGGACATCACCACACTACCTCCAGGAAAAAAAGTGGTAGGTTGCAAATGGGTCTTCACTCTAAAGTTCAACCCTGATGGTAGCCTCAACAAATATAAAGTAAGGCTCATTGCAAAGGGATACACTCAAACCTACGAGATTGATTATGAGGAGATTTTTGCCCCCGTAGCCAAATTCAATACAATCAAGGTTCTATTGTCTATTGTAGCCAACTCTAATTGGCCTCTACATCAACTAGCCATAAAAAATGTCTTTCTCACTAGAGATCTAGAGGATGAAGTCTACATGGAGATTCCCGAGGGTGTGGGAGGAATAGAAACTGCCACTGAAGTCTGCAAGCTCAGAAAGTCGCTATATGGACTAAAACAATCACCCAGGGCCTGGTTTGACAGATTTGCAAAGGTCCTAAAGCCACTAGGATATCTTTAAGGACAAGGAGACCACGCACTATTTGTAAAGCACAACAAAAGGTTGGTGATTGTACTTATTGTTTAGTTGATGATATTGTGATCACAAGAAATGATGATAAGATAGTGGATCAGCTAAAAAAGGCATTGGCTGTAGAATTTCAAGTCAAAGACCTCGGCCAAATGAGGTATTTCCTAGGCATGGAAGTGGCAAGAACCAAGAAAGGGATTAATGTATCCCAATGGAAGTCTACACTTGACCTCCTCCATGAGACAGGAGTGCTTAGATTAAAACCTAGTGAAACACCAATGGAAGCTACATGCAACTTGGAGGTGAAACCGAACGGTACTCTAATTGACTCAGAAAGGTACAAAAGATTGGTGGGAAAGCTAACCTACTTGACTCACACACGTCCTAACATAAGCTACATAGTCGGAGTGGTGAGCCAATTCATGCACCAACCCCAAGAAGAGCACATGGAAGCTGCCCTTAGAATCCTAAGTTATCTAAAACTTAATCCTGGAAAAGGAATCTTCTTTGAGAAGAATAGAAGAAGAAACATAGAAATATACACAGATTCAAACCATGAGAGAGCTGTGGAGCACAGAAGGTCCACTACAAAATACTTTAAATATTTATGGAGGAACTTGGTAACATGGAGGAGCAAGAAGTAGTCTGTAGTATCTAGAAGTAGCACTGAATCAGAATTAAGAGCCATTGCCCTAGGAGTATGTGAAGGAATCTGGATCACAAGGCTCCTTAAGGAACTCAGAATACCCTATGAAGGACCTCTTTATCTTTGGTGTGACAACAAAGCAAGTATTGAAATGACTAGGAACCTTGTCTACCCTGATAGAACAAAGCATGTGGAAATAGACGGAAACTTTATCAAAGAGAAAGTGAAAGCTAGCATCATAAATCTATCCTGCATAAAGTCTTCCAACCAAATTGCAGACATAATGACTAAACCACTAGCAAGGGTACAATTTGAAGGGTTTCAAAGCAAGCTAGGAATGCTAGATATCTATTCTCCAACTTAAGGAGGAGTGTCAGAATTGAATCCCTAGTACTAGTCGTTAGAATCATATCCCTTAAATCTGTAAATTTCCTTTTCTAAATCACATAGAATCACGGTCCCTCATCATGGGGATTCCCTGTCATTAGCTCTATTCAATGTAATCAGATTTCCAAATTTGTTGTGAGGAAATCTGATCCTATTTATGTACCAGTTCTGCTGTGGAATAATACAGAAAAATAATTTGAATCATTATCTCTGATACATGGTGATCCGTGTGTTGCAATAGAATTCAGGTTTTTTTTTTTGGTGATTAAAAAGGGGAAAAAGAAACCTTTAAAAAAGAATAAAAATCAGTTTTTTACTTTTTAGCTTGTCTTGGATTTTGTGGGGGAAATTGGCATCACCAAATGCTCTTTTACTCCTTCCCTTTTCATTTGCATTGATTACCTCAAATCCCGGTCCCTAATGGTATTTGTCTTGTAACACATTTCAACCAAAAACTGTGATTGGATCTCTTCAGTGTGCATTGGGATATTCTTGATTAAATCTTCGCTAATCTTCATCTTCTATTGCCTTCTATGAGTCATCAGTAAATCTTGAAGATCTAAGATTGAGTATTGATTTCTAATATGTGCCATTGCGTGTCTTGTCTTATCATCAGTAAAATGATAAAAGGCAGGTAGCTCGAATTTAGTAGAGAAGATAGATCATCAGAAATTATTGAAATAAGGAAGAAATTTTGAAGCCTTACAGTTTCTACAAGCTTTGAAACTGCCGAAATTTTACTCTTATGTAACATCACCTGTTGGCTGAAAATGGGAAGAAATGACCTTGAAAAGTTTGAAGCAACCAATAGATTGTTCAGAAAGAGCACAAGGAGAGAATCTTCACAAGTGAGTGCAAATTTTGAAATCTGTTTTTCATGAATATGTGCTCTGCAGCTTTTCTAAACCATTAGATGCTTGAAAGTTTCAGATTTTAAAGAAAGGAAATGAACATCCTGCATGGTTACCTGATGGCTGGAACGTGGGTTTCAAAACCCGAAAAAGTGGTGTGCACAAGGGAGCTATATATAAGGTATTGGATAATTTTATGAAGTTATGATTTGCATATCAGATAGTGTTGCTGTTAATCCCTGGCCATTCTAGTTATTCCATTTTCTTCATTCTTTTCTATCATGTCTTACTTTGGAAATCATATGCTATTCTTTAAAGACCTCCAGCTAACTGCTCAGTGCTTATATCATGCATGGCAGAAGCATTGCATGATCACCCAGACATATGCATAAAGAAGCGATGGATCCTTACTTAATTTCTGATTTAGCATATGATACAACTGCAACCTTTTTTCTCCCTTTATGTCGCTGACTCATGATCTGTTCTTGTCCTAAATTGGTTAGGGCTGGGTTTTTGAATACATCATTTGAGACCATAATCTAATAATATACTATGTTTATTTTCATATTAAAGGCTTCTCTTTTTAATTGATGTGCTTAAGTATTTCCTCACTTTTCCGTGGTAGTATCATATTTTCTCTTGCCCAGTTGCTAGTCTACTAAGAGTCTGACATAGTAATTACACAACACATTTCTAATCTCTGTTTAGAACTTTTTGACTTCTCACTGCTACTTATTTGTTGTAAGTTGATATTGCTCACATGTTGGTGATGTTTTATTAAGTATTTTTCCCCGTTAACCATGCATCTCATAACATACTCTGTTCTTATTGCAGTGCTTCAGTGATCCATTGAACAGATTCAAATTCTACTCCAAACCTGAGGTATTACGGTATCTTGAAACTATAGATGGCAGCAACTGCACTTTCAAGAAGGGATGCCCTGCTAAGCAATCTACAAGCAATGTTTGTACCCACATCTCCAACTTCTGTGACTTAGCATTTTGATTTTAGTATGAAATTACAGCCTTACACTTCCTTCTTGTCGTCCATCACAGAACTGTGCAATATGTATCCTTGATAGTTATGTAATTTTGCACAACCTTGGAAGTCTAATCACGTTGTTTTTAAGTAATATCAAAGAGTTTTCTGTACTTTGGTTATGTCTCTTTTTCTTGTGGTTGAAAAATGGATTGTGCATGCATAGTCCTAGCTAGTCCTTGTGCAGGGGGTAGAGTGTGTGTGTGTGTGTGTGGTGAGGTGGGTGGGTGGATGTGGACATACTTGGTTTTTGTATTTGTCCATTATCTGGTTATTTTATCATATCAAATTCAAACATATGAAGTTTGGAACTTCCTTAAAAAAGTCTCCCTTCTCTTGTCAACTTTATCATGCTTCCTTGCAGAATACCTCTTACTATCCATTTTTATTGGTATGACTTGTCTGTCTAAATTCAAGAGATTTATATGACACTGCTTGCTTGAGCAATAATCCAATGAATATAACTTCTTCATACAGATAATTGCATCAAGAATGACTTTAGAATTCTTGTCTTGCTTTTGTTAATATAGGAGTCATCTGCCCCCAAAAGACAGAAAGTGAAGCATTCTGCAATCAAACAGCAGCTTTCTGCCGGTGAGAAGTCAGAAGTCACTTTTTTTTCAAAGCTAATTGACTAACTGTGCCACATGTTAATCCTAACTCAGAGTGATGAAAAATATGCCATGTGCATCTAAAACCCATTCCTTTCTATTTCATGCATGCTGCTGCAGGCAAAGAAGTTTCTGACGGTGTCTTAGAATTGTCAGGTGCTTGCAGCTCAAAAGAAGGGCAAAATATGAAGGTGTCTGCCGAATTTATGGTTTCTCCTGTTTTAACTTCTGACTCTGTGGGCAAGATGCATTTGCCCAAGGAGTCAGCTGAAAACAATTCTGAAATTAAACAATCTAATCCAGGTAGCATGGTACTGCCAAAGTTTCCACCTTAAAATCAGTAGAAAAGACATTCTGTACTGAAACTGGAAATTACTTGATTCCTGCAGCTAATGATGTGCATGAGAAGAATTATTTTATGAGTGGAGTGGAGAAGACTGATGAAGGGAACCCTTTTCACACAAGCATATCCAAAAACAAGAAAGAGTTGAATGTGCCCCAACAAAATTTGAGACAACTCACTGGCAAAGCTGACCAGTTAACCAGCACAGTGACCCACGAACCGGCTCGTCGAGTTTCAAGGAGAAACTTTAGGAAAAGTGTGATCCCTATAGGCGTTGACTTGAAAAACAAATCATCTCAGAAGCAAAAACCATGTGAAGAGTTACTGAACAAAAACAGCAATCCTGATGTTGAACTAGCTTACAGAGATCAACCATACCAGCTAGTAACAGAAAAAATAGATGACAAAGAGGTAGAACTTGAATGTTCTGAGTTTCAGGATTCCAGTGCACAAAGTCTCAAGGTTGAAATGAAGAACATCACATGTGAATTACCTGCTAGGGATGTTTCTCATAGGGATCAAAGATTGGCTTCTGATGCTAATGTCATGAAAGAAGACACATTGCCTGTCGATCAGATTGGAAAAAGTGATACCTCTGAAATTCATGTTAACTTGAACAAATATAGTGATAGGAAAGATCATTGCAATCCATGTCGGCGGGCTTCAAAGCGACTTGCTGGATTAGAACCAGAGGTGACGACCAACTCGATAGTCTGCAAAAGAGCTCCTGAATATAAGAGTAGAAGGCCTAAAGGTAGAATCAATGCAGCTTTGCGGCAAACTGAGGGCGGGTTGACTGTTGATCGTGCAGATAATGCTTCTACCTATATAAATATGCCATTAAATAGGGAGGCATCAAATAAAAACTTAAAATCTCCTGAAATTCTACCCATTACCCATGAGCAACCAGAAAAGCATGGAAATGAAGAAATAGATTATGAGAAATCAGAACCTCAGCAGTCCATTGCTTCCCAATACTCTCGGTCTGACCCATGCTTGGAATTTGCAATGAAGACTCTTACTGGCGAGTTACCCGTTGAGAATTCGATTGGTGATGGACCTAATCTGGCTACTGATGCCATGTTGTTTGACGGTGCTAAAGAAAGCAGCAGTGAGAGAAATGTGCAGGTGAATTCAAAGAAATTGAAGAGCAAGGAAAAGCTTAAATTGCCTCGTCGGTTGTCAAGGAGACTTGCTGGCCATAAGCCTGAGGTAATGCCTGCTTTAAGAGCTGTAGAATATGCTACTAGGAAGTCATGCCAAGATAAATCAACTGCAACTGTGTTTTTGAAAAATGGAGTTTCTCAGCTAGTTGGTGCTGGCAAAGAAATAGAGCTTACTCTTGATGCATCTAACAATTTGTTAAAATCAAATGTGCTTGGTGAATCATTGAACAAGAGTGAAACGTCATATGAAGTCCAAAATTTTCCAGAGTATCAGCAGCAGAAGCTTGAAACTGACAGCTTGGAAACAAGAACACTTAAAGAAACATCGGACAGGAGTGAGGAGCTATATGAAACCCAAACGGTTGATGAATTGAATGAGAGTGTGAAATTATTTGAAACCCTAAATATTCCCACGGAGCAACAGCAAGAGCTTGAAACTGTGATGAGTTCAGAAGCACAGCTTTGCTTAGCAGATGGGGAAGAAACTGAGCGTACACTTCGTGCAAGTGCCAGTTCAAAAACAGAAGTGCTTAAAGACACATCAAACAGGAGTGTGAAGTCATATGAATCTCAAACTATTGAAGAATTGTTATGTGAAGACCAAACTGTTGCCAATGAGCAACAGCAGAAGCTTGGTGGTTCGATGTCAGAGCCACAAACGTGCTTAGCCTATGAGCAGTTTTGGTCAGATCCTTGCCTAGAATTCGCAATCAAGACCCTAACAGGTACATTACCAGTGGATGATGCTGCCAACGTTTTGCCAGTTATGACTACTGATAACAATGACCAAACAGACAAGGAATTGCTTGACGGCGTGGTAAAGAGTCCCAGAGAAGGAAGTCATGATAACTTGAACCAATCTGAAAATGATAAACTCACGATGCCTAAACAAACTCAATTGAGGACCGGCTCCACATTTTGCCAAAATAGGGTGTCTTGTGGTGATGAAGCTGATTTAACTAGGAATTTGAACGAAGGAGAGCCCCTTTGTATGGAAGACGTGAATACAACAAAACTTCTGCATCAAAGAATTACTGGAAGCACAGTTATCCATGAAGAGCTACCGAAGAAAATCCCTCAAGTTCTTGATGTTGAAGCTGTTCCATCTGAGCAACCACAACTTGAAACTGAAATCATGAGCCATGAGAAGCCTGAGGCTCAGTTTCGTTATCCATTTATGGATTCTTGGTCAGACCCAAGTCTGGAATTTGCATTCAAGACTCTAACAGGTGCCATAACAATAGAGGAAGATTTACCAACTCAAGGATGCTTGGAGGAAACTGCCATATGGAGTGGCCAGAGGGACAGTTACTCATCGTTGCCAGATTTTGGACCTACCAGCTTTTCTCAAAGTGATATATCATCCTACTGCAATATGGAGGAGAGGTCCATTGCAGAGCAGCAGCCACAAACTAGCCTTGGCGCAGAGGTTGATCCTCAGAAATACCATTCTCATTGCAATAGGAAAATTTCAAGGTAACTTCCTCCCAAAAAAAAAGGAAAAAAAAAAAAGAACCAAGAAAGAAAGGAAGTTTGTGTAGCCCCTGAATAACTAAGATTCATTGTTGGCCATCTATGAATTGTCATTGCTCATCTTGATGTAGTTCTTGTAACATAGTAGGGACTTTTATTTCCTGAACAGGTATGTTTCAACTAGATATTCTATTTTGTATGTCTTGAAGCTCCATATATTAAGTATATCCACACAAAAAAAATGTTTTATGTATTAAACAAAGCAGGGACGCATGATAGTGCAACAGCTGTTCGATCTGTAGTTAGTTTCTTTTTGGCCTAGAACCTAACTGATTTGAATTACGTTTCAGTCTATGTTGAAATTTGAAATTATAAACCGATTGGATGGTAAACTGATTCAGCCACCTATTTCGTATTTGCGCACCGAAGGCACAAAATAAAATAAAATAAAGGTTTTTTGGTCAAAAAGTCAAATAAAGGTTAAAGTATAAATTTGTTCTTTTTAGTTTATATCAAGTTTTATCTTAGTCCTTTAATTTTATAAATTGTGCTTTTAGTGTTTCAATCTTAATATCATTAACTTTTACTAATGACAAATACTAACTCAGCAATTCAATGCCAATAAAACATGTTTAAATTTTAATTATTTAATATAATGATTTTTATATTTTAAAATTAAAGACCAAAAAAGTCTTCTCTGCAACAACGGCGACCCCTCCACATTCTCTAATTGCCCCTCTTGCCATTTCTCGCTACTGGATGGCCTCCGTAAGCTCTTCTTTTCAGCCTTAATCCAACACTTCATCAGCTTCTTATTTTTCCTCCTCCTCCTTAACGGCGGCGGAATGTCTTCCTGAGCCTAGAACGGAGTTGAATAATCATAAAATAACGTTTGTTTTATAGCCCCTTGAGTTCTATATCTCTCTTTGGAGGCCAATCGTGTTGCAGTAACCATCATTTCTTTTTATACCTCAAGCGATAACAAAGTCCAATGCCATAATATAAATCCTAATGACATACTAATTGCAGATAAAAATATGCTTGTATCTACTACAGCCCATAAATTACCAAAAAGATCAGTTATCTTTAGAACATAATTGAAAACAGCTTCCACAACCCTTGGACGATTCTTGATTGAGATTAGTAGGGCCTCTTCCAATCTTTATGACAACCAACTCGGACGTTGCTGATTAAGGGCTGTGTATGATATATCAAAATGAAGGCTGGAGGGGAGGAAACGCCATTGTGATCTGTCACAGAGGAAAAGACCCTTTTTTGTTTTTATTTTAATTTTAAAATATAAAAATCATTATATTAAGTAATTAAAATTTCAGCCTGATTTATCAGCATTTAATTGTAGAGTAAGCATCTTAACGGTGTTAAAATCAAAAGACTAAAAATAAACTTTATAAACTTAAAGGACTAAAATAAAATTTAATATAAACTTAAAGGACCAAATCTATACTTTAGCATAAAATAAAAACTACCTTTGATCTTAAAGAATCCTTTTTAATGCATGTGTTGAGAAGGTTTTCAACCAATAGTAGTCATAATTAAGAATAGTACTTAATAGAAATTAACTCATTTATTATAAATAAACTAATTAGACTATTTTTTTTTTTAATGTATTCAGATTAGTTAAGTATTCTTTTTATTAAGGAGCGTATCCTATTACTTAAGTGGCTGAATGAAGTTTGGTCGTTCAAGTTGCGGGTAGTCCCAACACTTGAGTTTTTCTGCAGGTTTACAGATAAAAGCTGTTTGATACGATGAATCATGATGCTTTTGTGCTACGTAGATCTTGTAAGCATGGTATTATAAAAGGTAGCCATTATTATTAATGATCAGAGAACGAAAGTTGTAGGCAGCTAAAGACAAAAATCCAACCAAACGAAGGAGGAACAATAAACACGGACGTAATTTGCAATCTTGGAAACAAAGCATGTAGCTCCTTAAGCGACTAATGGATTTAGGATCTCCAAACGCGCCACCCCCGTATTTAAAAGTCTCTGCTAGATTGCTGCCATCCGCCTAAGTTTTCCTCTTCCACATATTCACTGCTGCGCGCCTGAGATTAAAAACAAAGGGGAAGAGAGAGAGACAAAGAGAAACCAGTGTTACCAACGGAAGAGTTTTTCGACTTTAGTTTTAAATGCAATGAGAAGGGCAGAAAATTGTTGCCGATAATTACCATGATTTTGTTGGGGGAAAATGTGGAGCAAATGGAAGCTAAAGGAAAGAGAATTACCTCAGGGGTAAAAGTGAGGCCGAGTTTAATCTCCCCGTGATACTCCTCATCCTTGACAACGTTGTACGCCGTAGGTGGGATGCTTCCTTCAGTGAACAAAGCATCTAGCGGGATGCTGGAAAGAATCATCAATTTGACTACTTTAGGAATTACAATGATTCGTTCCCAAAAAAGGAATTCATCACATCCCCCTGGTAAATTATACATATACTTTTCAACCCCTTGTGATTGTCATCGTCCAGCACCTAGCGTCATGACATTTATTACCTTTTGCCCCCACCTTCACAGTTGTCTCTACACCACAAGTGAGCTCCGCACAAAATTATGATACCATCAACCAATATTATCCAAATACTCCTTTTGTACTATCCGCCGTTTGATTGCAACATTCCGTTATAATAATAATAGCAATTATATATTAATGTCTTGATTTATAACTAATTAAGACTCGTTTGTCCGTAATTAAAAACTGTTTGGATTAGTTTTTCTTAGAAGTGATTTTATAATATAAAAAGAAAATATGCAAAAAAAACTGTATCGTAAAAGCACTTTTTTAAAGTGTTTTTTGAGATTTGCCAAACTCCTCTTTAAAATACCAATACAAAGTATATTTATGCTCCACTTTATTATCTATTGATTTTTATTCGTCACCAAAAATTAATTATCTTTTTTTAGGATAACCACGGCTTCCTACTTTCCTGTTCACTTTTTCACGGAGATTCATCAGACTCTCTCTTTTATCTTGTACATCTTCTTTTAAAAAATCCTGATTTATTTGGACATTTTTTGACGAGGGGAAATAATTCAACCCAAGCACCACCTTACCCCCATCAACAGATGTCAAATAGCTGGAATGCATCTCTCGCAGAGTTTCATAAAGGTCAAGACTCGAGAGAACTGCGATAGTGGGATGAAATGCTCAACGATTCTACAGGTCAGTGAACCCTAAACGACGCCATGACTTGATGTTAACCAGAAGAACAAGATCAAAAGCTAAAAATTAAAAAAAAAAAAAATGCAAAACTCACGTTGCTTCTCCTACGAAATCATCATCCGTGCCAGCATCACTGTCCAATATCTTCAATACGAGTTCCGAAACGTCACCGGTCAAGTTGAAAACGAAAGTTTCATTCCACTCCGGATCAGATCCTTTACCTGCTTTCACAATTTAATCACCACTGTAAAATGCGTGCTAACATGTTCTGTTTTGACTAATTCAACAGAAACAGAGACCTTTGATACAGTTTGGAAATGAGCATGTTGGCGATCATTTCACTAGCAAACCATATGTTTTCGATCATGCTAGACGTTTCTATTAGGATCTGAGGCCGACCAGTTATAACACTGACGGCGGTCCACTGAGTCATTGAATTCAAATAAGATGCCGTACCTGATGCTACGCTGCTTTTCTGCTCCTGAGTGCGACAGGTGAGGATCACATAGGGATCCATGTTGTCTGTTCAAAAGCATGTGAAGATATTGAGATGAAATTTAGGAAACAAAAAGGAAAGGATGCGGAAGAAGGATGGACGGATGGAGAGAAACTCACTGAGAAAATCGGTATTCTCAAGACTCTTGGCACTAACCAGAAGGACTTCAAGGGTTCCGTGAGGCATCTTATTCGATGATGATTGGATCGCAAAGAGAATGAATCGAAAAGTAGAGAATCCGAGAGGAATGAATCGCAGAGATCTATTTCGCCTGCCCAAAACCGTTCCCTTAAAAAGAAACGCCAACTATAGTTGCCAATTATTATTATTATTATTTAATACCGAAATCACATGACGATCTGGGCGGTCTTATACAGTCAAGTTATCGTTAAAAAGAATCAAGACCTGATTAAGGAACCGCGTGGCGTCTTTCACAATCCACTCTGTCATATGATTGAGCCTTGTGGGCCGTATTTGGGCTTTAATTCAATCACCTTTTTGGGCAGTTCATCTTCAGGCAAAAATACTGTTTTTGCTGTAACCAAAAAAAAAAATCTGTTTTTGCTATCTGTTCTGTATTTTTTTCCCAAAAAGAGTTTTTCCCTATCAATCGTTCGTATTCATCTCCAAAAATCCAAGTAATAATAAAGGTATTGAGAATTCATTAAGTGCAAACACAAAACGCAGGAAATCTCTCGGTTTTAGAGTTCTTCTATGCTCGTTTTGGACACGAATCTTAGATCATACAACCTATTTCCTCTCTCGTTTACGTCCACATCTTTATTTAGATAAACTTAAGACCACTGATGAAGATTATCTCAATAATATACAGACGACAAAAGATTAGTCATGATTATTAACGCACTATCTTCGTTAAGTGGCCTTCACATCATGATTAATGAATATAATTATGCTGTTGAGAAAGCTGACCCACAGAAAAAAGAGAAACAATTAACAATTGTCTCCATTTTCAAGTTAAAAACAAATGTTATTAGAGGTTGACGCTGGACTAGGTTGATTAACAATTCTCACTTATTTTCTCAATGTAATCTTGTTCAATACATCATAACTGGCTGACTCCTGCATATGCAGCAACAATCAACTGGAATTCTAGATAAAAAATTTGCTCAAAATTGAATCATTAAAAAATAATTTATTCAAACTTATGATGTTATATCTTTGAAGGGAATAACGGATAAGAAGACAAATATATATATATATATATATATATGACAATTATATAGGTTCAGAATTTATTAACGTAACGGATAAGGAGACATAATATATATAGTACCTCTAGTCTTTAATATAAAAACTAGTTGATTAATTTGAGTAGATTAAAAAAATTAGTTAAATTAGTTATTTATGATAAATAAGTATTGTCTTTCCTAAAATATTATTACTAATAAAATATATTAGCTAAAACTATCATTATTACAAGGACAACCTTAAAAAAATGAATAAATATGATAAACAAAACGGATTGAAGTTTTATATTTAAAATTAAAATAAAAGTCCAATAAGTTGTCTTTTTTTTTTTTTCCGAATACAAACAGACAAGTTAAGACAACTTCTGAATTTCAGAAAGGACTCCAGGAGTGAGTTGCTGGGAAATATCA